GCTGATTGGTTACTGCTTTGGTTCTGCTTTCTTTAAGGGTTTGTTTAGTGCTGATTGGTTCTGCTTTCATTACGAGTTTTTTAGTGCTGATTGGTTACTACTTTGTTTCTGCTTTCTTTACGAGTTTGTTTAGTGCTGATTGGCTACTGCTTGTAGTTTTTTAGGATTCCGAAGAGATGATTGGAGGTTTTTTCAGACACAAGGAAGAGTTGAAGTTGTGTTGGGGAGCCGTCAAGATATTACGTAGTTAAATCTTTATTTCGCTTAGATATGCAACAGCATTATAAATGTATTCTACAGGATGTTGTTGATCCGAGCTATAGTTGGAAACTTAGGATAAGATATCGGTTTGTCAGGATTTTGTTGATCCGAGCTGTAGTTGGAAGCTTAGGATAAGATATCGGTTTAGTCAGGATTTTGTTGATCCGAGCTGTAGTTGGAAGCTTAGGATAAGATATCGGTTTAGTCAGGATTTTGTTGATCCGAGCTGTAGTTGGAAGCTTAGGATAAGATATTGGTTTAGTCAGGATTTGGTTGATCCGAGCTGTAGTTGGAAGCTTAGGATAATATATCGGTTTAGTCAGGATTTTGTTGATCCGAGCTATAGTTGGAAACTTAGGATTAAGATATCGGTTTAGTATTCTATAAGAAATTCAGTGGGTTCTGTTCATGTGTCCGTTTTAATCAGTGTTTTGGGTTCGAGTTCTCTGAATTAACTGTAAACGTTAGAGCCTGGCATGTGGACACACATATATATATATATATATTCTCACTAAATTCGTGAAGTTAATCTGACCGTAATGCATGACCATATTGAATAAAACACGAGTTGCTAAGATACCAGTACAGACAGCTTGTGAAGGCGTAACTAGGAGAATAGACAAACGTTTTGATGTTCGGTAAATATAAGCAGTTTTATGTCGTACACGGTGATGTTCTAACCAAGTTAAATTAGACTCAGGAGATACTCGGTACCTAGTGATTTTAAAGAATACATTCATAACCACGAAGACTGTTATAGAAAGGTTTTAGTTTCAGTTTGTGAAAGTAATTACCAATGTAAATTTGTTCGACATGTCCTCAAAATAGTAGCCAACACCTACATGTTAAGTAACTCTGACTGATTCGTAGTACTGATATAGTCAGTAGTCCTAGGAAAATGCATATTTTGGTATATTGTTAAATGGAAACAAACAGAATTCTGTAGTTCTCGAGTCTTGTCTCGTGTAGCTTCGTGTGATAATTGAAATCAACGCCAGAGGGAGTACGAGCCAGTTCTTCCGAATTATTGTAAAGTTAATTAAAGTAATAATAATATATATAAATAATTTATGTTAACAATAAAATAAATAATATTCTGTAATTAATCCCACCCTGAGAATCTGATTTGTAAATGACCTAAATAAAATTTATAATAATTTGTGTGTCGTAAGGGTGAAGAGAGTGAAAAGTTACTGTCCACCCCGGGTTGTCTTTCAGGCCCCAAAATCTTGTTTGAAGCTTGCAAGATTTTTAAACCTAAATTCCTGCCACGAATTTGATTTGATTTTTGATGTATGTCATATCACA